GAGAATTTTTTAAGTAAAACTAAACTTTTAACTTTTTATTTATGTCCTGTCTTAAACTCATTATTTTTAATTAATTAAAAAATAATGGACGCTGATTCTTATGTGCAATTGTTAGTGATTTCTTAAAAATACATACCATAAAGTGTAAAAATCCGTTTTTATATCCCACTGAAATATATCACTTAATATTCACAAAAACTCTTCCAAAAATAAACAACAACTGAATAGGCACAAATACTTCACTAGAACGCCTAAATATAAATGCTGTTAAGGAATACAAATTCAAATTAAACAAAAATATATGCATGTGGCCTTCTTCATTTGTATATCTGCTTGCATTCGAGTTACAAAAAAAGTCCATATACAGTGAATCTAAAATATGTATTTTGGCCAAAAAATTAGCTTCTAGAAACCATAGTGTGTCTCCTCAATGAACATCACCTCAGTAGATTGAGGCTAAGGAAAAACGGCGAATACAGATTCCTTAGCCTCAATGATTTGGGGAAAATGGGGAAACACCAGAACACCTTATCACTGAGTGCGCCGAGACGACACCCATTCGTACCATAAACTTTGGTACAACTGATATTGGAGATGGAGAATTACCCTCTATAAAACCGTCCCAGATACTGGCTTTTGTCAAAGCCCTGAGACTATGATGAGTTATAACTCAAGAAAGGGGGACACACTAGGTCTGTAGGTCGCAGTGATTAACCCCCCCTCCCACTCATTCTACATTCTACAATGAAGTACCGTATAATCAGAAAAAAACGGCATCCAGTTGGCTTGGAAATGACGATCATGGCATTCCCCATATAATGTTACATACAGGGTGACCATTTGAAAACGAACAGTATTTAATATTGCCTCTACCGATGATAGTATGAAAATTTGGCGAAACACGTCAATTTACATATCAAGGGGGACAATTTTTGAGGCATTTGTTGTCGTGTTACTTTCAACCCCTTGACCCCCAGGGTACCTAACTCTAAAATTTTAAATGGCAACCCCTATTTCTTTTACCATTTTTGTGTTTCTTATAGAATTCTACATAAACTGCATTATTTTATCATTAGTTTATCGAGGGTCACAGTGCAGTACCTCGTATCATTTTTGATAGGATTTTTGAGGAAATCCAAAAAATATACCTAATTTTACATTAAATTATTATTTTTTTGATGAATAATTATCTTATAGAGCCGAAATATCAATGCTCTATTACCAAATAAAATATTTTTAATAATTTTTGTGAAAATATTGCTAAATTTTATAAAAAATAATAATAAAATTTTATTAAAAAATGTCATATGAGGTCCTGCCTTGTGACCCTAGTTATGTAGAATTTTATAAGAAATACAAAAATAGTAAGAGAAATAGGGGTTGCCATTTAAAATTTTAGGGGTAGGTGCCCTGGGGGTCAAGGGGTTGAAAGTAACACGACAACATGCCTCAAAAATTGTCCCCCTTGATATGTAAATTGCATTAGCGTAACTAGCAATTTATCCTGGGGTGGGCCTGGGGGCTGGGGTTGAGACCAGGTGGGGCCCTAGGGCTTTTGTTTTTTTTTAAATGAAAAATAATTTTAGAAAACACTTTTTTTGAATAAAACGTTTACATGAATTTTATAAACATGGTTATCAAACCGTGTTCCCGTTACTGAAATACCTACAAATTTTCTAAAGAAAAATTCAAAAAAACACCTTTTTTGAACACTACAAAAAAATATTAACTAAACAAAACTACAAAACGTCATTTTTACTGCATCACAAGCAAATAAAAATTAATACGTAGCCAAGAGTCGTAATTCAGGATTTCTCTGGGGGTTGCCAAGCAGCACCAGGGGGGGTGCTGCAACCCCGGGCCCCCCTGTAGTTACGCCAATGGTAAATTGACGTGTTTCGCCAAATTTTCATACTATCATCGGTAGAGGCAATATTAAATACTGTTCGTTTTCAAATTGTCACCCAGTATAAAATGACACCGATTTTCATTTCATATCTACCGCTGACGCCGTTTTTTTGTCGATCAGATTGTACTAGTTTGGTACTAGTGAATACAAAAATAGTAAGAGAAATAGGGGTTGCCTATATAATAACTCTATCAATCTATAACCTTTTATCTATTTATCGATTATCGTTTACCTGCCTTAATATGACTCAAATTTCAATTCTATTATGATTAAAAAAAAATAAAATATCCAAAATACCTACCTATATTAACAGAAAATATCATACGATCGAATTGAAATTCTTATTTAAATGTTATAATTAAAAAGTTTCTACAATAATTCACAGAATAATATTACCACTAACAATTACTTATATATTTTTTTTAGTAAATGACAAATGACAAATTTCATTTCCAATAGTCTTTTGAATTTTATTGTCTTTTCTGCTTGTGGAGGTCTCGGGTTCTTATTCTTCACTTAAAACTCTTTTACGGAATGTTGCTGCGGGGTGTCCAGTACTGGTATTAGGTTTATCTTCAAGGATCTGACAAATTTCTTCTCTTTAATTAATGTCGTCATCAATAACGTCATGGTGTTTTTTGCACTAGTGCAAAAAATAAGTTATTTTTTGCTAGTGTAATAATTTTTACACCAATATGCTACTTTTTTCGCTCATACGGTTCTACTGTCGAAAACGAAAAATAATAATTAGTCATATCTTATAAATAAATAGAAAAAAATCGTATCTACAATTTTTTTTTGTCGATAGATGTGGTACCTACAACCAAACACTAATCATTGGGTACCGCTGCGCCGGTACAGCTCTACAGTACTCGCCAAATATCTCCGTGATACACAGGGGGTTCGCGGGTTATATTACTTATTCATCATTCTACCCAAAGATATTTAAACTAAATAGGTATCTTTGTTTTTACCCGAGGGCATACTGTTGGAATTACATGCATATTTTCTTGGCAACCGCTGGTAGTCATTGGCAATCTTACGGCAGTCCCTTGTTTCCACCTTATAGCACAGAATATCTAGCTACGCTAGATATTCTGTGCTATAGCTAGATATACGTAGTCTACCTATCTAGTACTTTAATACCTTTTATTTTATTTTTTTATTTAATACCTATAAGCACAGAATATCTAGCTACGCTCAGATATTCTCTGTTTATAGGTATTAAATAAAAAAAATACTAATAATTTACTTATCTTTGAAATTAGATAAAAATAGATAGATGTATGTATTTTGTAACATTTGAATTCAATAATTTATTGTTTCATTGTTTTTTTTTAAACAGTTCTATAACTACAATATTGCCATTTGTAATATCTAATTTTGAATATAATAATATAATATTCCAAACATATATTTTTATTAAAAAATTATTTGTTCTACGATATTAATTCAATCGATAATTAACATAATTTCAAAATCAATAATGAATCTACACATTATTAATCGAATATTAGTGTCATTCTGGTGTCATTTGTTTAGAGATTTTGAGAATAAAATGGTCTAGGTAGGTATAGACATTTAGACATGGTATAGAGTCGATACCTGTGACATTGCATTTGACATTTGCCAGATTTAAAAAGGCATTTAAAATTATTGAAAACGTGTTAAATGTAAAATATATTTTCGAGTGACAGTAATAAATGTAGTAGACCGTATGATCGAAAAAAAAACGGTGTCCGGTTGGTTTGGAAATGACGACCAATGACATTCCTTATAGAATTTTACATATAATATAAAATGACAGCGATCTTCATTTCATAGCGATCGCTGACGCCGTTTTTTTTTTCAATCATACGCAATGTACAATGTACGTATTATACAATGAGGTTGGAATAACACAATGTTACTATAAATTACCGTTCTAGGACGGTTATCTCGCCCGGTTGGAACAAACATTATATTAAACAGGTTGCCTCGTAACTTTTAGACCAATAGGAGCGAAGCGGCAATTACGTCCCGGATATGTTTACAGAACATTTAGAGAACGTACATAAATAATATAATCATAATCTAATAAAATCATAGATAAAAGAATAAAAAATAAAATGCAACGGACAAAGAGAGATAAATGATAAATTTAATCAAGAAAACAAACACCAAACAACTGAAAACCATGGACACAATGAATATCGATTCGGAAATGCACTGTCGGACTGTCGCTAGTTTTTATCCCTTTATCTATGATCGGCCGCATATCTGTGACGTATCCTAATGACGTTTTCGATAATGGCCGGTCCAGAGGCAACCTTATCTTTATGCAGATAAAAAAATCGTGGGTGTTTGGGAAGACTTGGAAGGAAACAATGTTTTTGCGACGTTTCGCGACTTTATTATCTTATCTTATTTTATATTTTAATAACCTTGAGAATACAGAATATAGAGTCATTGTCATAGAGTATATGCATTTATATGCAAGACTTCTTTATTATACCTAGTATTTTTGCATAGGATATATGTAATATTAAATTAATAACAAGTACATCTGTTTAATAAAAAAAAAAACAATATGATTAACCTTAATCTGTAACAAAATTGAGTAAGTGGCAGCATTGTTAAATCTTAGTGTTAAATAACGAAATCGGCTAAGGATATCTCGAATAGCTTCTACGTCCCACTAGTCAACTCGCATACCCAACAATGTTGCCGTTTGCTGTCGCCTTATTTTATGAACGGTTTTAAGAACGGCGGAAAGTAACGCCTAGCTATAGCCAATTTTGCAATAGCAGCTTTGAGTCCATTGGGGAGGCCGTCGCTTCGGGATCGAGAGGTCCCAGGTTCGTGTCCCACAAATATAGAACTTTTTTATCTTTCTACAGCTATTTTATTTTTTTAAAAATAGCTGTAAACAGGTAATAGAGCCTTGTTTGGTCTCTGACGTAAGTTTTTTTTTGTTTAGATTGCACTGAAAATACCCGACCGATTATCATTTATTTATATACGCGTGCAGAACTGCGAAATTAAGGGATAACTAACGGCAACATTGTTGGGTATGCAAGTTGACTAGCGGGACGTAAAAACTAGTGGTAACTGTGATATCTCGCTTGGTGATTCACACAGGTGGGGATTATATTCATCCTTTTTTCTAAAGTTGATGTAGAAAAAAATCTACGCAGAAAGGTTTAGAACATTAAAAACAACTAAATAAGTTTAAAAAGCATATAGGACATAGTGCGAGGAGTGATTTGAGTACTATTAAGTTTGGTGTTGTTTGTGGTAATTGAAAATAATCCACAATGGATATATCGAGTGAGCTCGTCAAGTTATTGTCTGATTTATCAATAACAACTGGAGACAGGGAAAAAAGTGATGCTTGGAGAAAAGCACTAGAAAATGCATATAATGCCGGAGTTACTAACTGGAATGATAGTGGTAGTAGAAGTAGAAGATACAGGCGTTACAGATCTCTAGAAGATTTATGTAGTCCACTCCTTACTGATACATATACTAGCCATGCTCCAAAAGAGAATGATAAGGATTTATTCATTAGAGAAACTATGGATGCCCAACATCAAGAAGTTAAAGGTAGGTCTATAGTATATAGTATATTTCGGTTGAAATGAAACTCGCTTATTTGTAAAGGGAGAACATTGCAGTTTTCATGAACCTCAGCCATACGGGGACTTATTTTATGAGGCGCCGTTTAATTTTTATGTGAAAGATTTATTTTTCTATATGATTGATTTATTTTAAGCTAGGGATGTTCGATTTAAATCGATTCTTCAGGAAATCGATCTTTTGACATGCGATTCCCGATTTTTTGAATCGATTAATCCAAAACCGATTTTTTATAGAATCGATTCATTTAGACCGAGATGCGTCATCATAACATCACAATCGTCATGCAACCACCAAATTTTATGCTCAATTTCAGAGGATATTGATTATGTAAGAAAAAGAAATTGTAATTATTGTGAAAACTGGAAATCGTCCGATTTTGACCAAAATTGGTATACACCCTATTTTGAGGTCGTAGATTACGAATCTGAACTTTTTTCTTTGCGGTCTCTTACCGTTTTTCAGAAAAACGGAAAATAATTTCAACAATGAATTTTTCTTTATTTCGGCCCTTATAAAGTAATAATTTCACTACATTTTCATTATATTATAGTTTATCTAAAAGCCACACTTGATTGAGGATAGAAAAATGTCCAAAATTTTACTGAAAAACACTTTTCTTTACAAAATAACAAACAAAATTGAGACCATATTGAGACCAGATGGAAGTTTGACACTTCATATATCCTTCTTTCTCTCTCCTATGTAATGAGTAATGAGAGAGACAAATATATTCTAGACCTAATCTAGAAATTTGAAAATTTACAACGTTGCCATATCTTCTATTTTTTCGGGTGATTAGGGATTTAAAATAAATTACCTATTATGAGATCTGACAATATGTAGTTAAATACAGCCCCGGATCTACAATTTTTTTCAACCGGGGCAAAAAATTGATAGTAGCGCCCCCTCTCTCCAGCGCAGCGCCAGCGTTTGAAATAAATTAATTTAAAAAACTTACAAATATCTAAATATACAGTTCATATCAAATAAACTTTTAGTCACGTGATTAAGCTTGACCGGCACAGCGTTGTCCACCTTTATGTATTTTCTTTAAAGCAAAATATTTTAGGTACCAAATATAAATTAATTATAAATATATAAACAGTTATTATTTACATCAACAGAACTCACCTTCTTAACAGCACTTAAGGGACATAAAGGGCCATTACTGCTGCTTTCCCATAATAAATTTGCGATGAGTTTGTTACAGCTATTAAGCTATCTTGTACACTTCGCACTAAAAGAGGTTTTAAAAAGAACAATGTTCGACTGCAAGGTCTGCTAGTAAACATTTTCGAGCTTAAAGTATCAAAACACTATTTATATTTAACCCAAAAACTCGTAATACAAAACTAAAGTGTTAAAACGAATGACAATGTCAGGAAATAAATAAATAAGTGCGGCAACTTGACATTTTTTTACAGCAGAGCTACCACCTGAATCCCCAGCGCGAATGTTAAATTCTAGTTAGTCAGCACGGCGTCGAATATGTCCATGGTTGGCCAAGGGTCCTTTGCCGACTTAGATCTTTTTTTGATATAATATAACAACAAAAGATTAACACCCTCGGCATGGAAGTTGTAACCAATGCAATCAAAACTCTTTCGTGCAACTTCGTGGATATAAATAGTACCTCGTTGCTCGTTGGTAAAATAGCAGTTATGGGAAGGAGCGGTTCTTCTGGCGACCACCTTTCGTAATCCCAGAATGAGCAACGTTACTTTAAATGCCAGAAACACATAACCCAACATTTTCAGATTGTTTACAAATTTATTTTTAGCAAATTTTCCTCTATTATGCATATAATTGGTTAAAAAAGTAACAGAAAATAGCAAAAACATCATTGTTTATTGAATACCTAACAAAATATGTGCTAGAAAACCTTAAAAATATGAGAAATTAAGAAAAATTCGATGTTGAAGTAATTTTTTATTTTTCTGAAAAACGGTAAGAGACCGCCAGAAAAAAAGTTCAGATTCGTAATCTACGACCTCAAAATAAGTGTATACCAATTTTGGTGAAAATCGGACGATTTCCAGTTTTCCCAATAATTACCAAAGAGGGTAATCTACACTCAACCGGAGTAATCCGCCGTGGTTTGCTGTCAATCGAAAACACCTTTTTTAAATTCATTTTCAGGACGTTGGATGGCACTCGGGCGCATATATTAAACAATATTCTCTATTACGCCAGTAAAAGGTGCTGTGTATCTCTATCCTTTAATAATAATTAGTCTCTGAACAAAGAGGGAAACATACTCTGCGAACTGACTATCCATACCGATCCAAACTGATTAAACAAAAAAACGAAATTACATTTTTTTCTATTTGACGTTTGACAACAGAGTTTGACAACGATTGACATTTTCTGTGAAATCTTGTTTGTCAATGTTATAATTTTAAATTTAATTTTACTTTATTTTGTTTTATGTTTTTTGTCGTGTGTAAAAAAGGTCATACAAAATAGAAATACATAATTTTAATTTATTGCGAAAACTGAAAATCAGAGTCAAAAATTGAATTAAAAAAAAGATCGATTCTCACTAAGATCGATTTTTTAGCTTGCGATTTTTCTTGTATCGATGGGCGGTCATTCGATCTAAATCGAACCAAAAAATCGGTTCTTTTTTACAGAATCACACATCCCTATTTTAAGCTTTTAAAATTCACCACAGCTCATTGAGGGCGTTCGAAGTGATTCTCCAAAGGAGAGATGTACAGGTTGTATCGATTTTTAGAAAATATCGATATCTAAGTTAAATTTATCAAGATTTATATAAATACATTATTCGACATTATTAGCGTAAAGTAAATGAATTTAGATTGGAATGCTCGAAATTTTGAAACTAGAGAGCAATTGAAGCTTTCAAAGCAAAAATGATGGTGTCATTTAAAAATATATACAGGGTGACCCAGACTTCCGAAGAAGCTCTATATTACAGCGCTTTCAGATGGAGCGGACTGTACGCGCGGATGTTCATCCGGACGGAGCATACGCGACACGCGACCCATGTCAAATTGTTCATATAAGCTCATGGTACTTGCTCGAAGTCGCAGACGGTCCGTCGCGGACGCTCCCCATCTGAAGGACGCTCCCCCGCTGTTAGGTTTTTGGTTTGCGATTTTCAACCGAACAACAAAATTAGTGGAATAAATTATATATCATACGCCAACGTATCACCAATTTTGTTTATTCTTTTTGAATTTCGAACAAATTTACTTATGCAAACATGACAACCAATGTAATCATGAACATTGATAAACTTATGTTTTAATTGTTACAATTAAATGTTAGAAAACATATTATGAAAAATCAAAATTTGGCAAACATTGATATTTCATAACCGATGATCAATATCGATGTTTTGCCTCGATGTCCCATCACTAATTCGAACTTGCCGCCGCGTCGTTCGTCACCTGTTTATTGTTTTGTTTTATGGGCAATGTTTTCTATCATTTCTTTTTCTATTCAACTAGAGAAAGACAAATGAGAAGTCTCTTACTGCTGTTTATCCAATGAAATGCTGCGTAAGCATTGTTGCCAATTTTATTTCTCATTTGTAAGCAATCTTTTTAAAAGTTTTTCAAAAATATGAAACAATATGGTTCTACTTTAATAAACAATTATTCATAACTTTTGTATTAGATATATAAAATTGTGCAGTAAGCCATGCAAAATGCAAAACAATCTTTCATCGTTCGTATAGTACATACGTTACAGCTCTTAAGTCTAAGGTTACAGCTTGCGTTACAGTTTAATTTCAGGAGTCTATAATTTGATTATTATACATGAGTTTATGAAATAATAATAATATTCATTATTCACTAGTGAATAATGGTTTCATTATTCACCGCTTCCACGGATATCTCGATCCAAACTCCAAACCAGAGCTGTGCTCGATCCAAACCGGCTTGGAATGCGATTGTACGTACAAAATAAAAAACAAAGGTGGCTATTGAACAGCATTGAAATGCCACGTCACGTTGCGTTGTCGCGCTGTTGTGTTTGCTTTATACTCGTTCGATATTTTTTTGACATTAAAAATAAAAACTTATATTAATATTATCTAAATTTTTTGATAACGTATAGTATTGTACTCGCATATAATGGCTGTTATTCACTTGGATGATTTATGACTTCATCCGCGTGAATAACAGCCACCATTATATGCTCGTTGAATAATTTACTATTATTATCGCATTTTAAACTACACCATTTAAAAATAATTTTTACTCAATGTAAAAAGTACAACTGGCTGTAAGCGCCATTAAAAAATAAAGAAGAGTACGTGCTAAATAATGACGTCTAGGGCTTGATCTCGCCAAAATTATTATCGATTGTCATTCCTCAGCCGTCTTTGAAAACATTTTTTCTATCGTATGGTATATGTATATCATATGGGAAAAATGTTTCATATCCCAGTATTATGCAGGGTGAGTTTTCTACTAGGTGAGTTCTCTATGGGTATATCTCGGAAACTACTGGAGATAGAGAGTCGGTTAAATGCGGAAAGAATTGCAGTTTTGTGTGGTCATAAATATGGCCCCTTTCAGATTTTTTAAAAAGTTCATGGCTTACTAGATATTCTTACTTACATTTATAATGGATTTAGTTCCTAATTCTATTATAATCTATTTTAGACGAAAAGTTTTCAGATAAAAGTTGTAGATAATCATATCCTTAATGAAATCGTGTCGTTTTTTTCTAAAGCTTCTCATTTGTGACATATGACACAAACATAAGTATGTTTGGTCCACCAATTGGTCCACCTCTTCCTATCCCTAAGTTTGCATAATTATAATATAATTTTTTTCTATCATTTCTTTCATTATGAGGGGGAGCGTCAAACAAAATTAATATTTCATCTTAAAAAGATTGCGTAGGTGGCGAACACGCAAAAATGAAAAGAAGCGCAAAAATTAACATTCTTTTTAATAATTCAATAATGTTTTTGGTAGGCCTTAAGTTAACTAACTAAAATTTGGTGTAGGTTCCATGCCTAGAACCACTAGCCATCGCTGATTGAGATAATCCTCATTTACAACAAAATTAGTACCTTAAACACTCAAAAATATTAAAACTAATATTTTTTTTTATTTCTAGGTGATATTCCCAAAAAATGTCACAGCTTTTCTCATCTTGAAAAGATCGGAAAGTATGTTAATCGTAATGAAACAACAATTAAAAGAAAAAATGAATATACAGAAGATTATAATAGAGAAACTATATCAAAATATAATTCACCTTCTGCAGAAATTAATAATGAATTAGTTGAAGCCCAACAAAATTCAATTTCAAATGATGCAGCCCGCGTTCAAAGAAACGATGAATATACAGAAGATAATAATACACAAACTTCAAAAGATAATCCACCTTTTGCAGAAATAAACAGTGAATTTGATGAAACCCAACAAAATTCAATTTCAAACGATGCAGTCCGTGTTCAAAGAAAATATGAATATACAGAAGATAATAATACACAAACATCAACAGATAATCCACCTTCTGCAGAAATTAACAGCGAATTTGGTGAAACCCAACAAAATTCAATTTCAAATGATGCAGCCCGTGTTCAAAGAAAAGATGAATATACAGAAGATAATAATACACAAACATCAAATGATAATCCGCCTTCTGCAGAAATTAACAGTGAATTTGTTGAAACCCAACAAAATTCAATTTCAAACGATGCAGCCAGTGTTCAAAGAAAAGATGAATATACAGAAGATAATAATACACAAACTTCAAAAGATCATCCACCTTCTGCAGAAATTAACAGTGAATTTGACAAAACCCAAGAAAATTCAATTTCAAACGATGCCACCAGTGCTCAAAGAAAAGATGAATATACAGAAGATAATAATACACAAACTTCAAAAGATCATCCACCTTCTGCAGAAATTAACAGTGAATTTGACAAAACCCAAGAAAATTCAATTTCAAACGATGCCACCAGTGTTCAAAGAAAAGATGAATATACAGAAGATAATAATACACAAACTTCAAAAGATCATCCACCTTCTGCAGAAATTAACAGTGAATTTGACAAAACCCAAGAAAATTCAATTTCAAACGATGCCACCAGTGCTCAAAGAAAAGATGAATATACAGAAGATAATAATACACAAACTTCAAAAGATAATCCACAAATTTGCAGAAATTAACAGTGAATTTGATTAAACCCAAGAAAATTCAATTTCAAACGATGCCACCAGTGTTCAAAGAAAGATGAATATACAGAAGATAATAATACACAAACTTCAAAAAGATCATCCAATCTTCTGCAGAAATTAACAGTGAATTTGACAAAAACCCAAGAAAATTCAATTTCAAACGATGCCACCAGTGCTCAAAGAAAAAAAATGAATATACAGAAGATAATAATACACAAACTTCAAAAGATCATCCACCTCTTGAACTGTGAATTTGACAAAACCTAAGAAAATTCAATTTCAAACGATGCCAATTAGTGCTCAAAGAAAAGATGAATATACAGAAGATAATAATACACAAACTTCAAAAAGATCATCCACCTTCTGCAGAAATTAACAGTGAATTTGACAAAACCCAAGAAAATTCAATTTTCAAACGATGCCACTCAGTGTTCAAAGAAAAGATGAGTATTACAGAAGATAATAATACACAAACTTCAAAAAGATCATCCACCTTCTGCAGAAATTCACCAATGAGTGAATTTGACAAACCCAAGAAAATTCACCTCAAACGATGCCACCAGTGCTCAAAGAAAAGATGAATATACAGAAGTTGATAATACAAATTTCAAAAAGATAATCCACGTTCTGCAGAAATTAACAGTGAATTTGACAAAACCCAAGAAAATTCAATTTCAAACGATACACCAGCGTTCAAAGAAAAGATGAATATACAGAAGATAATAATACACAAACTTCAAAAGATCATCCACCTTCTGCAGAAATTAACAGTGAATTTGACAAAACCCAAGAAAATTCAATTTCAAACGATGCCACCAGTGCTCAAAGAAAAGATGAATATACAGAAGATAATAATACACAAACTTCAAAAGATCATCCACCTTCTGCAGAAATTAACAGCGAATTTGGTGAAACCCAACAAAATTCAATTTCAAACGATGCAGCCAGTGTTCAAAGAAAAGATACAGCAGATAATAATACACGAACATCGAAAGATAATCTACCTTCCGCAGAAATTAACAGTGAATTTTTTGAGACCCAACAAAATTCAATTTTAAACGATGCAGCCCGTATTCAAAGAAAAAATGAATATACAGAAGATCCACCTTCTGCAGAAATCAATAGTGAATTTGGAGAATCCCAACAAATTTCAAATTTAGCTGATGCCGCCAGTATTCAACCAAAAAATGAGTATACAGAAGGTAATAATATAGAAACAAGATCAAAAGATGATGCAGAAATTAATAGTGAATTTGGCGAAACTCAACAAAATTCAATTTTAAATAATACAAATGCTCATTTGGAATCTGATAAGATTATAGTCAAACAGAACTTATTATGTTTGTATGATGGTATCGGTAATGATATTGTGCAATTCATACCATTATCGAGAACTTCATCTGAATTTATACATATAAGTATGAACTTTCCATTTAATATTACAAAAATCCATAAAATATTTAATCCATTTATACAAAAAGCATTTGAATTGACGCGTGAAATGAAGTACAGAAATATACAACCTCTCAGACTGTATCATGCGACTAAGCTGAGACATGTAGAAAGTATTTGTAGAAATAATTTTAATTGGAGATTGAGTGGCCATGAAAGAGGCCATAGAGTAGGTCATGGCGTTAATTTCACTAACGATCCGCATTTAGCTAAGCATTTCTGTGATAAATATTCAGAAAATGTAATGATATTGGCAGATGTGCTAGTAGATCTTCAAATCGAGGGTAGCGGTGATATGATTGTTCCACCTGAAGGTATCGATACTGCTATAAGAATAACACCAAGACACAGAACTTATGTTAAGTTCAATGACAGCGAATTTTGTCCTTTATATGCTATTTATTTTTCTTATAATTTTAATTATTCTTCTAGAAGATTTTTTCATATGTAACATTTTACATTTATCAGTTATTTTTATATTCTTTCAATATTTATGATATCTTCTTTTATTATGTTTCTATATTTGTATTTGTTTTCTATTTGTTATTTTGTTACTTAACTATAATAGTACCAAAGCATAAAACTTATGTTAAGTTTTATGACAGTTAATTATGTCCTTTAAATGGTCATTTATTTTTCTTTAATATCCTTTTTATGTTTTCTTTATTAATTTATATTTTCTTTATTATGTTTCTATATTTCTTTTTTTATAAGTATTTTTTCTATTTGTTAGTACTGCTATTAAAATAGTGCCAAAGCATAAAACTTCTGTTGAGTCCAGTTGTGTCCTTTATTTGTCATTTATTTTTCTTAAATATTCTTTTTATGTTTATTTCTAGTTCTTGTTAACTTTCTTCAGTAATTTATGATATTTTCTTATATTATGTTTCTATATTTAAGTACCTATTTTACTTTTCTCTTTGTTACTTGATACTGCTAGATATAAAAATAGTAATACTTAAAAATAATATATTAATAAAAACATAAAACTTATGTTAAGTTCAGTGACAAAATTGTCCTTTAATTGTTTTTGTGTAATGTTTTTTCATATTACAGTTTTTATTTTTATTCACTATTTATGATCATTTTTTTATGTAGATCTACAGGGTGGGCCAGAACTCCTCCGAAATATATAAAAAAATTGATGTATTTGGAAAATCCCAAAAAAATTTTGTTAGGCATAATTTTTTAAAAAAATAATAAAAAAAAGATTCCCATTCGTTTTGAACTCTTTTGCACACCCTGTATATTTCTATAATTTCTAAGTATTTTGTTTTTCTTTTCATTACACAGTGTTGAAGTATCCCTATTTTAATTCCGTGTGGTCAAGAAATTTTCTGATCAAGCAGGCTTTTAACAAATTCATAATCCCGAGCATAATTCTTAGATCTTGTAAAATACTCTACGATTTGATTAAGAGTTAGCCCTTGTTCAAAGCCAACTTGATAATATATTATTAGAATATTAATATGTAAGTTCAGTGACAGTGATTTTTTACTTATTTAATATGTTTTTTTTTTGGTTCCTATTATATATTTATGTTAACTGAGTTAGAATTAAACACATTTTTTATTTTTATAAGAATATTCTGAATGTTATGTTCAATTCGTGTCTATGACAATAAAAATTGGTTCATATAATATTTTCTTTTTATTTGATAACACTGAATTCAAAATTCAGGGTGAGTCTTAAATATTTAACACCGCGGATTATTACAGTTTTACGATTTTAAGTTTTGGAAATATATATTTTAGTATCTTGTAATTGATAATATTAGACAATTATTAGAACTAAATATTCTTGTGTAACCTCAGAAGAATAGCCAATTTAATCTACCATCGGTAACTGTTTTCTAAATGCATTATTTTTGATTTATCATATCAGTTTAATATAGTGGTATAACATTACACCTTCCATTGCAAACTAATTATATTTATTTATACTCCATGTTTAGTTATCTTTCTGAAGCCACCACAAAGTTGACCACGGCTTATGACCTTGATTATTTCGCAAAGTAGTACGAAGAATATAGACGCGTGTTATGGGCTTGGTGCATTTTCCGTCTGTGCTGCCACTATCGGAGAATATCGTAAACAACTAGTTATGGCTAAAATGGATACTTGGCTAGTTTTCAAACTAGCTAGCTATTCTGCAAAAAGCGCTGTTATTTTGTTGGTGAGGTGTTAGTTTGCGGTGGTGGTTGCGTTGTTTGTTAGCAAAATAGCTGGCTAGTTTGAAAACTAGCCAAGTATCCATTTTAGCCGTAACATATACAAATACAAGGGTTTAAATAGCGAGTATCGAGTATACGAAAAATTTATTATATAATAAATATTTATTCACTAAAATTATACAACTGTTTAAAAATATTTTACAATTCAACAATATTATTTATTAAGCTTATATTTACTAAGCTTATAAAATTATTTTAAAAGGAAGTATAATTTATGAAATTTCTAAAAACAAAAATAAGAACTTTTTAGATAAGTTTACAGTGTCAACTACGGTAGCGAGCATAGTTTTACGCACCGGTTTTGCTAGAGGGTTATTATTGAGGCTATTTCGGCTATAAGATTTTTTTTTAAAGGTACATAATTATAATTTTAGAAGATGTTCATAAAACATTTAATCACTTAAGTTGATTAAAAAAATATACCATTAATATTGCAAATTATATTTTATCCTCTCATGGTATATGTCTATTTAATTTTTTGATTATGTAACGAGCACTTTGTTTACTCACTTGTTTCATCGAACTGCTTGTATCTATTTTTGCTTTTGATCAAATCGACGCCGACGGCGACGCGACGTGAGAAACTATGAAGCTATAAAATGTTTCGGGAGAGTTGAATATCCGGAAAAGTTGAGTTATTGAATGTTATTGCACCCAACAACGCCCTAATTACACTCTTCTTTACGCGTTAACATTTTTCGGCAATTTTATTAACATTTGAAATTGTCACAACACGACGCCGACGCCTAGTTCAGATCCTTCTTTACTTATTTTTTAGTACACGAAACAGCGTTGCATCACACAAATCTCGTACCTGAGTGTTTTATAGTTCCAATAACTGCACTAGCAAAAACTAAAATACTTAAAAATTATAACAAAGCCACGATTTCAGTATTATTTTAATGCGGTCAACATGGACTGTACCCGGGACGGCATGAAATACATAGCGAAAATTTCTGATTTCTGCCGTATACAGCGCTGCGATCGGAATTTTTTGAAATCAACTGAAATGCACCAAGCCTATTTTTGTCGAAACTGGTCGAAACGTTTCTCGAAGCATTTCCCGACACAATTCCAATAACAATAAAAAACAAACAACCAATCACGGCTTTTCTTGGCCGATTTCGATCTATTTCGGGCATAGTGTAGATGATGTTTTATTTTCTGACATTCATCAAAGAGCATCGCATTCTTTATTAAAATAAAAAACAGGGAAATATTTAATTTAAAAATGGTAAACAAATTATCGATTGGTTATTTTTAACAACCTCATTCTTCTCCTTTGCATAAACTATGATATATGTACATATAAATAAATATAACCAGGATATATTGAACCTTATCGCGTGCTATGGAAATCCACAAACAACTAACGATACTAAACGTAATAGATAGATTACAAAATATTTGACAAACAACATTATCTATGGCATATTTTTGGCACTATTTAATTTCACTCACTTATTTACAATACTAGCGTGTACCCGCGACTTCGTTCGCGTCGAATTAATCATTTGTAATGGTGATGATAAAGCAAAGCAAGAATTTCCATTAACATACAAACTGGAAAAAATATTCTCACATTTATGTCAGCATGAGTAGCATGAGAAAAAACAATATAGCAATATTATTATATAACTTGGTAATATTTGAGGGGTAGTTTCATGGGTTGGAATTTGACTTTCGAAAAATCCGTTTGCCAAAAATAAGCTTTTTACGTCAAACAGTTTAAGCAGAATCGTGATTAATTACTTACCCAACATTTTGGAACACCCTGTATGATTTTTTAAAAAATTTCAAAATATGTAAAAAAAAACAAAATAAATTTATGCGTGTCCAAGTGTTTTTCCAAAAGACTAACCGTTTTTTAAATAACAAATATTGTAATATTTGAGGGGCGTTTTCACCCTCTTGGAATTTGAGATTCGAGAATTCTCTCCTTATCGAACCTCTACAGCGAACCTAATCAGCTTTAAACGCCAAGCAGTTTAAGCAGAATCGTGATTACTCAATGGTCATATTTTATGAAACACTCTGTATAAATTTTTAAAAAATCTTAAAATATGTAAAACGACAAAATAAAATATACGTGTTTAAGAGTTTTTCCGAAAAACTCACCGGTTTTTAAATAAAAAATATTCTAATATTTGAGGGGTGGTTTCACTTCACCCCCTTAGAATTCGAGTTTCGGAAAATCCCTTCTTATCGAACCTCTACACCCTAAAGTCAATCCGTTTTCCAAAAATCAGCTTTTTACGTCAAGCGCTTTAAGCAGGATCGTGATTAATCAATGACCAGATTTTTCGAAACACCCTGTATACATTTTTAAAAAATCTTAAAACATGTAAAAAAACAAAATAAAATATACGTGTTTAAGCGTTTTTTCGGAAACTTGACCATTTTTTAAATAAAAAATATTGTAATATTTGAGGGGTGGTTTCTCCCTTTGAAACTGGAATTTCGAAAAATCCCTTCTTATCGAACCTCTACACCCTAGAATCAACATGTATGCCAAAATTGAGCTTCTTCCGTTGAGTGGTTTGAGCAGGATCGTGATTAATCAGTGAGTCAGTCACTTAAGGATTTTATATATTAGCACAGAATATCTAGCTACTGGGTAGCTAGATATTCTGTGATATTAGCCTTGTTTAAAGGATATTAGTATAGATATGTATAGGCAAAACACATTGAAATACACGATAAAGCAAACCTTGCTGAAATTTTTTGGTTAATTTTAAAATAAAAGAATCAAAACGTTAAGAATTAGAAACCTGATTATAATTAAAAAGTTATAACTTAAAAAGATATATGCCCCAAGTAAATAAGAAAATACATATCTTGAAGCACGAGGACATAACGTGTGTCAAAACAGGATCGGACGAAACTAAATTTAAAATAATATGAAATATTTATTTATACTAGGTTGATATTGAGATATTTTAATTATACAATACCAACTTTTTAAAATACTTATTACAGGCTTGGTGCATTCTCCGCCGGTGCTGCCACCATCGGAGAATATCGGAAGCAATCGATATATACAAATACACGGGTTTAAATAGCGATTATATGAAAATTTTATTATTTAATTATTCTATAAGTGTTAGGAAGTATAATTTGTGAAAATTCTAAAAATAAAAATAAAAAAGTAAATATTTTGATATCTTCAGGTCTAACTCGTATTAAAATATATTATTGGGGCTATTTCGGCTATAACGAAATTTTTTAAAGGTACATATTTATAATTTTAGAACATGTTCATAAAACATTTAATCACTAGTTGGTTAAAAAAAGTATACCATTAATATTGCAAATTATATTTTATCGTCTCATAGTATATTATTATGTCTATTTAGTTTTTTCATTATACAGGGTGTCCTAGAAATAAGTCAAATATTTTAACTGGTAGTATAGTTCAACCCTAGAAACAGGCCTATGAGTTTTTTCGCGAAAAAAAAATTTGAAAATTCGAAATTTTTTGATTTTTTTTTAGTTTTTAGTTTTACATAATTTCTTGATATGGCATATTGGTGTTAGATTAAATTTAAAAGAAAGAAAGTCCAGAAAAGATCCAGTGGTTTTCAAAATGTTTGCAAAAAATATTTTTTTTGGGCTTACAGAATTGAATGAGCTTACAGAAATTCCAGAAGACATCCCTTGTATTGTCAGTTTGTCGAACATGCCAAAATCTACACCAAGAAATTGTCAACAAATCGAAGTACATTTTTGCCAATCGATCATCAATCATCTAGACCAAAGAAATCCATGGATACTTTCGACTCCATTCAACAGAAGTATCCAGCATGTGGACTTTAATAATATATCCAATATCATTTATTTGGTGCGTCTACCTTCTATTCAAAAAATTAGATGTACTTGCTGCATGAAGAAAGAAAGGACAGAAACCACCCCAACCATTCAACTACCCCTCCCAGACGGTATAGTTGACTCTTCGGCGGGAGGAGTTATGTCGTGATGCTGCCACAGAACTGCTGGATCATCACATTTCGCCTATATAACCCGCAGCACTCGTCACCGCTGCAGCTCAGACAATTTATTAAATTAAACAATGTAGCAACTTATACAATTTGTATTATCTTATTAGTTATTGTTCAGGCAGATGCCATTTTAAAAAAGTTGTAATTTTAATCAATAAATATTTTTAAAACGAATTTGGCTGTTCTAGTTATTTAACTGCCCCAGTCGGTAGGTTGTTTTGGGGATTCTAGCGTATCGTACGTTAACATTTTTTCGATAATTTTATTAACATTTGAATTTGTCCTAACACGCCGAGTTCGAATTCTTTTTCACTTATTTTTTACTACCCGAAACAGCGTTACATCACACAAACCTCGTATAACTAAGTATTTTATCGTCTCAATAACTGCACTAGCAAAAAACTAAAATACTTAAATATTATGACAAAACCACGATTTCAATATTATTTTAATGCGATCCGTCATGTTGATCGCGCGGTGGCGCCCTCATGTTGATTATTATAATTATTGTTAATAGTTTCTGATTTTTGCCGTTGAAGCGCTGCGGTCGGAATTTGTTGAAATCAACTGAAATGCACCAAGCCTCTGTTCGTTCTCACAGCATCAGAAAACTGTCAAAAACAGTTAAGTTCTTGTGAGAACAAATCTCCGTTTGACATATACACAAAAAATTCAAAATGATTTAAAATATGTAATACATTTTACACACTTTTAATTGAAAATGTATTATATTCATTGGAATTTCTGGCTATATAAAAATGTTGTTATCTGACAGTTTAGTCAAAACAATAGTACGACCAAAACAACATGTTTCCACAGCATAATCTGTGGAACGTGGCATAAGAACCATCGGTTAAAGAACTAAATGTTTACATCGAAATAATAAAAACACAGATATATACAATATTAAACTTATTATACTCAACGATCAACAATGATATAATTCCGAGTCACTAATGAAATATTTTGCTTTTTATTAAGAAAAAAATATTTATAGTCAAACCTACCAAGGGATATCGGGTAAATTATTTCCAATTTTGAATGTTAACCGCTAGGGAGCGCAATGGCAACAGAAAATCGAAAATATCAATTTTCGATTTTGTGTTGTAATCTACAAGGGTAGTCTGAAAAGTCTCCGATCAACAAGTTTATTGAACAGGGAAGAGAACAAAGGCACATACTTCTTCCGTCTTTAACTCATCACACCGTCCAAATATCCAAATACTAATTCTTGTTCTTGATACTAATTGATGATCTCTTGTTCGAAAAATATCTTTGTCTTATAAACATGCATATTAAGGGCGGTTTAGACTCAAGATTTTGCGTAGAATGGTTCGCGCAGGCTGTTTTGTGCAAATCTATTTTTCACTTACACATTCAGTTAGTTGATGCTATTTTTCGGGAGTTTATTTAAATAATTTAAAAAACATAAGCATACTGTTCAAAATAATAAAAGAACACAAATGACAAAATACTTAACCAAACTTAACCGTATTTAAACCAAATTTTTGAACTGAGCAAACTAAAGATTTGTGTTTACATTTGACGATTTATTGGTATAATATGGCTTGCTCCTTTCCAATTTGCGCGTATTATCTGAGAGTCTAAACCGCCCTGTAGTTAGGGAATAAAATGAAGTCGCTAATCTGGTGATGACGCATTATCTTGTCAAAACCAAATTTTCTTGCAGTGCAGATTATGCTCCGATACTTTTTTGAAGTTAATCGATTAGGAGAACACAGTTAATCCAAAAACTTACCAGTTCAAAATAGTTTTCGCATTCTTTGGAGCTATTTCCTCCTCAGACAAATGTTTTGATTAAATTTTCATTTCGAGTATACCGGGTGCGTCTCAAAAGTGGCTCACCCCTATAACTTTTTTATTTGTTCTGTTAAAAAAAACGAGATTTGGTGTGTTAGGATTGATTGGTAATTTAGGTGGTTATATTGGTAAATTAGGATTGATTGACGAATTCAGTTGTTTTCGGTCACTTCCTGTTTCACCGGAAATGACTACAACTTTTGATTTTTAAATGGCACCCTCGGCATTTTTTTACTTTATTCGATAGAAAACAACACTCTGAATAGAATGACATATCATATGTCAACTTTTGACATTTTTGCATATGGTTTATTTGAAATTATAACTTGCGGTTCGTAACGAAAATTTGACTCGAAATACCAAGTGTGTGGTATCCAATTATTCGTAAAAAAATGCTTCTTCCAAATTGAAATATTGAAATATGATTAAAAATGCGATTTGGGCATTTTCTAACTAGCCAGGACAAGACACTAAAAACATTAGACGATCAAATCTATTTTTCCAAGGCTCCTTGGCCACATAACCATGCCACTCTAGATTGATTTTTAAAATACGATTTTTTATTAAGCGAGAATGTCAAAAGTTGACATGATATGTCATTCTATTCAAAATGTCATTTTCTATCGAATAAAGTAAAAAAATGTCGATAGTGCCATTTAAAAACCAAAAGTTGTAGTCATTTCCGGTGAAACAGGAAGTGGCCGAAAACAATTGAATACGTCAAATCAATCCCAATTTATGTCATATACTAACACACCAAATCCCTTTTTTTATCTGAAAAAATAAAAAAGTTATATTGGTGAGCCGCTTTTGAGACGCAGCCGGTATAATGATCATATTTCGTCTACAGTTATTAAACGGTACCAAAACATGATTAATTTTCTCTAAGCTGTATCAAGTTAATGTTGGAAATGTCCATTAAGGCATGTTTTGGTTCAGAGTGAGTAAACATGGTATATAATGCGCGTACCACCATCTCATGCTCAAATGTTGATCGAGTATCTGACAATATCTCCAATTCGATGCTAGTATAGTACCATTTTGTGAACTTAATCCAATTGAAGGGGTGGCAGCAATAACAAGGCAGGTTCACTTTTTATGAAAATGAGATTTTTACTTAGTTATCCTTTAAAAATAGGCCTATCATACCCCGCAGTAATCAGGTGTCATCATATCACGTTACATATGTATATGGTAACGTTATTGGAGCTATCTTGTTTTCGGTTTGCAGATTTTGGATGATCCGATCCAAAGTTGGTACTACCACGTTTAAGTTAATCTGCCGTGATCGTAACTGAACCTGTTCACTATTTTTACAATATACTTTAGGTTAATTTTCTCTAGCAACAACGAATATGAAGAAACCTATGTTTTTCAATGGCGCTATCTAAACGAGCCTTTTTGCCGTTACGTTACGCTTCGTCCTACGTGGGCGACAAAAGCGCGCGATTCGGGCGATTCAAGCGACACGTATTTTTTCAAACACCGTTTTCTTCTGAAATTGTCGTGCGTCGGCAAAGCAGGACACTTTCATAAGCATAGATAACAGAGCTAATTCATAAGTTTCATAAGAAATTAATAATTGTTCATAAGAAAACTTTTTTTGATAAGGTCGCGTCGCTCGCATCGCCAGAATCTCCCGCTTTTGTCGCCCACGTAGGACGAAGCGTTAGTGTAAGTTCACACAGAAAGCTATGCAACGCGATGCGTCGCGTTTATTTTAAACTCATAATCTTTAGGGAGGGTGTTCAAAAAGCGCGCGAGTTCGCGCGATGCTTCGCTATGCTATGCAATGTGATATCGCGTGTCAGTTTGATTTTCAAACATGTTTGTTTTTAATCGCCCGCGTCTTTAGTTCGCTCAAGATTCACGAAGCCACGATGGCCGATTTACATTATCAAAATAATATTACGGTGCAACCTCAACAGATTCAAACGAACGAAGCTGTTGGAACACCATTGGTTTCGCCTTTTTATTCTTCCAGACACAAACCACTCTTATACAAATATGTAAATGAAGTAATAATCTAAGTAAACAGCATAATAATTAGCATTTATTTTATTTCTTACCTTAAAGCACAGATTAGGTATCCTATAAGTATACAGATAAAAATCTTGTCCCTAATTCGTGGTACGAAAATTGTTTTTTATGACGATGAGCAAACGAGTAAATTTTCTTGTGCGCCAAAATAACCTCCCGTTTAAACAGCGTAATAACTGGGCAACCAGTATTTTGCGATATGCGATTTTGCTGCGATTATGATTTTATAAACTGGGACCGTGATTTCTATCTGCGAGTTTGAATTTTTAGGAGTTGCGATTTTCGATATTGGTGCGAATGTAATTTTGTGGTCTATTGAAGCATTTTATAGTAAACTGTGATTGAATTTTCTCTCTGATATTATTAATTTATAGAAAAGGTATTATTTTCTAGGGCCACGATAAATAATATCCCGGGTGTTTCTCAAGAGCGGTTCACCTCTATAACTTTTTTATTTTTTCTCTTTGAGATTTTGAGATTTGGTATGTGAGTATATTAGTATATAACATAAATTAGGATTGATTGATGTATTGAATTGTTTTCAGTCACTTCCTGTTTCACCGGAAATGACTACAACTTTGGATTTTTAAAAGACACCCTCGGTATTTTTTCACTTTATTTGATAGAAAATGACACTCTGAATACAATGGCAGATCATATGGCAACTTTTGACATTTTCGCTTAAAATAATCGTATTTTAAATTTCAATCTAGAATGTCATGGCTATGTTAAAAACAATAATTTTAATCAATATGCTTTGGAAAAATAGATTTGATCGTCTATTGTTTTTTGCGTCGTGTCCTGGCCAGTTAAAAGATGCCCAAATAGTATTTTTAATCATATCTCAATTTTTTCAAATGGAACGAGGATCGATCATTGGCATATTTAGAAAAAGCATTTTTATGAATAATTTGGTTTGGTAAATATTAAAATCGAAATCGCAGGTTCCAGTCGCTGCGATTTAAAAATCGCAATCGCAGTTTCAATTGCGATTGAAAAATCGCAGTTTTGCCCATCTCTAAATATAAACTATTCTACATTATTTACAAGAATTTAAGAGCGCAAAGGTGCCTTTTCACAAAAACCCTTGATATTATTAATAACAACAGACGTAGATAGTGAGTGTTGACTTCTCTGAGATATTGACCGGCGCGGCGGTCTTCCATACTATCACCGGTAAGCGGCAAAACATCAACGTCCTTGGAACATCAAACCGAACAAGAAGAAAAATATCAGACTGTTTGTTGCTGATCGCAGCGGTTCGCCCCCGCAAATTACGCACCATTTCACAAGAGCGAGAGATTGGTTCATTTTTCGGCGATAAAGCGAGGAATTTTCGAAGTTTAGAGACAAAAATACTGAAAACGACGAATTACACTATCTATTAGAAAGCATGCAACCGGGATGTGATCAGTTTTAATTGTTTGTTGTTTCACATGACAACTACTTGGCAAATGCTCTTTATCGTATAATTGTACAAATTAAAAAATCAAAATTGAGAGTCGATATATATAAGAAGCGCGTACGTTCAAGAAGAAGATTCACTGGACACGGACCAGCCGCGAAAGAAAGTGCGTTGTTGAATTTGTTCAATTTGTGTGGGTGGTTATCGCAATTTGTTGAAGCGTTTAATAGAAGCGTCGTACCGTACGACAACTTTGTAGTTTATCTTTTGTTGTTTATTTTTGAATAACTAAACAAATCGACATGGCCGCATTGCTGGTAAGTGTTTTTTAATATCCGTTTAAACATTTCTAACATGCTTTCAATACTAAACTTCAAATTCCAACAAGTTTAGAAACTCTAACATCGCAGTCGTCTTATGTGAAAGTTTCATTCAGAACCTGGAAATTAGTGAATAAATTAGTGATTTCAATTATACTTTATACTATACTATACTTAAAAATTTATGATTATTCAACATCTAAAAATACAATTAAAATTAATAGAATATCCTAGCAACAGCTCAGTTAGCAACAGCAGGTAGTCAGTTATATCCAAGGAGGAACTTATATCTATCTTTTTTTACATAAAACTTCTAAGTTTATGTAAAAAAAGATAAAGCTGTTTATACCGTAAAAAAACGTATATTTCGACACTATCAAGAGAATCAAAATTAAAAGGGTATTTTCCGTTGACCTAGAACTATGAAATTTGGCAAGTAATACCGTCTTATACTACAAATACATATAAGGAAAAATCTGAAAACTATACATTTACAATTAAATCATAACAAATATAGTCTTGATACGGAACCCTCGGTGTATTGAAGTATCACATTCTTAATGCACGTAACTGAAACATAAGTTTTTAGTTTCATAATTACTTTTCATTCAAGTGTTTTCCAATTTTGAAAGCTTATACCATACGATTGAGAAAAACGGCGTCAGCGATGGCTATGAAATGAAGATCGCTGTCATTTTATATATAAAACTAGCGTGTACCAGCGACTTCGTTCGCGTCGAATTAATCATTTGTAATGGTGATGATAAAGCAAAGCAAGAATTTCAATTAACATACAAACTGGATAAAATTTTCTCACATTTATGTCAGCATGAGAAAAAATCAATATGGCGATATTATTATATAACTTGGTAATATTTGAGGGGTAGTTTCATCTCGTTGGAATTTAACTTTCGAAAAATCCGTTTGCCAAAAATAAGCTTTTTACGTCAAGCAGTTTAAGCAGAATCGTGGTTAAGAAATTACCCAACTTTTTGGAACACCCTGTATGATTTTTTAAAAAATTTCAAAATATGTAAAAAAAACAAATAAATTATGCTTGTCCAAGCGTTTTCCCGAAAGACTAACCGTTTTTTAAATAACAAATATTGTAATAATTGAGGGGCGTTTTCACCCTCTTGGAATTTGAGATTCGAGAAACCCCTCCTTTTCGAACCTCTACACCTCACAGTCAATCCGTTTGCCAAAAATCAGCTTTAAACGTCAAGCAGTTTAAACAGAATTTATAAAAAATCTTAAAATATGTAAAACAACAAAATAAAATATATATGTTTAAGAGTTTTTCCGAAAAACTCACCGGTTTTTAAATAAAAAATATTTTAATATTTGAGGGATAGTTTCACACCCTTAGAATTCGAGTTTCGAAAAATCCCTTCTTATCAAACCCCTACACCCTAAATTCAATCTGTTTTCCAAAAATCAGCTTTTTACGTCAAGCGCTTTAAGCAGGATCCTGATTAATCAATGACCAGATTTTTCGAAACACCCTGTATACATTTTTAAAAAACCTTAAAATATGTAAAAAAAACAAAATAAAATATACGTGTTTAAGCGTTTTTATTTTTTCAGATAAAAAAATGAGATTTGGTGTGTTAGTATATGACATAAATTAGGATTGATTGATGTATTCAATTATTTTTGGTCACTTCCTGTTTCATCGAAAATTACTGCAATTTTTGATTTTTAAATGGCATACTCGGTATATTTTTACTTCATTCGATAGAAAATGACATTCTGAATAGAATGACATATGATATGTCAACATTTTCTGACATGGCTGTGTTAAAAACACTAATTTTTTCAAATGGAACAAGGGTGGCTCATTAGCATATTTAGAAAAAGCATTTTTTTAAGTATATTTTGGTACCATACACTTGATATTTCGAGTCAAATTGTCGTTATGAACCGCATGTTACAATTTCAAATAAACCATATGCGATAATGTCAAAAGCTGACATATGATATGTCATTCTACTCGGAGTGTCTTTTTCTATTAAATAAAGTAAAAATATACCGAGGCGAGGGTGCCATTTAAAAATCAAAAGTTGTAGTAATTTTCGGTGAAACAGGAAGTGATCAAAAATAATTGAATACATCAATCAATCCTAATTTGTCATATACTAACATACCAAATCTCGTTTTTTATCTTAAAAAATAAAAAAAGTTATACGTGTGTTTACATTATCTTAATTACGCTACCTCAAAACAATACATCGTTTACTATGTGTTAAGATGCCATTTTGATTTCGAAACAGAAACTTGAATCAATGTGTCTTAATATTGTTTATATATTGAGAATTGGCATCACTCTTAAGGTTTCATACCTGGAAATAATTCACATATTAATATCAAATTAGATAGATATTGACAATTATTAATAATGATTTGATTCAAAAAGTTTTTTAACAAGTGTCCATTTAAATACATTTCCATAGATACCTTAATTAAAATAACGCTATATTTATTAATAACTATATTTTTTGTGTAATAAAAATGTTAAATTTCATTTGTCATTCTAAAATTACTGCCGACTGCGAGATTACTGCCTAAAAATACTTCACATTCCATTTTATAATTATACGGTAATTTTCTGTAATTTATCAAAAAAGCATACATTTTGTTTCATGTACCACGCGGAATGCACATTGCTTCAAAATACGAAGACTAATTAAGAAAAAAATCAATCCAGAAATATAATAAAATTTCTAGTTCAATGTCAAAGAGCAATGCTGATAACATTTAATGAAAATATGTCTATCCTTGGAGCATTATTATAAAAATATCCGCACGGGTCTAAAATATATACAGGGTTGTTCACCACATACGACACGGAGTATTGTAGCTAAACGGTTAGATTTTTACAAATTGTAAGTTTTGGGTTCGTTAAAGGACTATTACAGCTACAATTTAAAAATATTTTTGCAAGATACAGAATGTCCCAAATAAGTAAAAAATATTATAGTTGTCTTTTTTTTTAAATGGAACTCCCTGTATATTATTCTATTTTTAGATTCTACGATTGAAATACAGGTAAATTTGATTAAGGTTTATCATACTTAAACCTTACTGTTTTTGAAATATTTCCAATTTTATGAACCAAATTTTAAGGCTTCATTTCTCCAAGGGTATCAAAGTTTTTAATACTAAATATTTACTGAAGATTATTTATTGATCAGCTATTGTGCTGCAATGATAAAAATTTTACTACCTTATACAGAGTGTACAAAAATTTATATTAAATAATTACTAGCTTTAAACGGCAATAACTTGTTTAATTTAAATGGAACACCCTATATATTTTACGTGAATCAGATGCACAATGTAATTGTCTATCAAATTGTATTATGCCATTTTTTATCCATCTCTTCAAGTTTTCGTATAAAATGCATTTTCTTATAATTTAGACCTCATTTATCACTATACCCATGGAATATTAACATTTTAGATTATTTTTAAAAATGTAACAAATTTTCAAACAGTACAGATACTAATATTGTCGATGTAGTTCGCTTACTACATTAAAAAATAAAAAAAACTGTTTAAATATTTTTTGTTAGAGGACCAATTAATATGATCCCAGTATTGAAACTACATTAATTGACTGTTTACATTGATTAATAATAATTGCTCCAAATACTAAAAAACTGAATTTTGTGTTTGTACACTGACAGTATGGTAAAAAGTAACACCTTATAAATTTTATTTCATTTTTTGACGAATGCTTCTTATATAAAACCAGAGATTTTCATTTTCATAACTTATCATTATTTTGATTTCTGAGTCAAATCCACATTTATTTAGAATACTTTATTAATTAAAACAATTTAAAAGTATGTAATTAACTACTTTTTGGTCGGAAATAACGGTAGTATATTTAATTGGTATACTCTTTTACAAAGATTTAAATAGTTGTTTTTGTATACCAATGGGCTTGCAATATTTACCACCTGTACATTTTGTACATATATGTTGCTTTAAAAAAATCTGAAATGTCAATATTCCATGGGTATAGTGATAAATGAGATCTAAATTATAAGAAAATGAATTTTCTACGAAAACTTGAAGAGATAGGTAAAAAATGGTATAATAAAATTTGATAGACAATTAAATTGTGCATATGTATATTGTGCACATTAAATTAAACAAGTCATTGCCCTTTAAAGCTAGTAATTATTTAATATAAATTTTTGGACACTCTGCATATGGTAGTCAAATTTTTATTATTGCAACACAATATCTGATCAATAAATAATCTTCAGTAAATATGTCGCATTAAAAACTTTGATACCCTTGGAGAAATGAAGCCTTAAAATGTTTACTGCAATTTCATAAAATTGAAAATATTTCAAAAATGGTAAGGTTTAAGTGTGATAAACCTTAATCAATTTTACCTTTATTTCAATCGTAGACTCCAAAAATAGAATAATATACAGGATGTTCCATTTAAAAAAATACAACTATAATATTTTTTACTTATTTAGGACACTCTGTATCTTGTAAAAATATTTTTAAATTGTAGCTCTAATAGTCCTTCAACGAACTCAAAACTTACAATTTGTAAAAATCTAATCGTTGTATAAGAAATTCAATTTATTCAACTTAAAATCTACCTATCGACAATAATTATTAAAGTGTTTATATTAAACGTTTCAAAATCAAAATAATTGAAGTAATTAAGAACTGGATATATCTATTCTTACAGAAAAAAATAGTAGGAGTAAACAGCGATGATCGATTAAAGTTTTTAAAAAACTATAAATAACAGTTACAAAATTATAGATGTTTACAGCTTCGAGACTTTTGAGACTAATTATTTTAATTAATGCAATGATATAATAGACGTTATGTCAATATTGGAATTAAAGTTCATGTTTGCTTTAAGGAAACACGATTAGAAAGCACAGTTTTAATTATCTAGATAAGACAGTTGTTATAAGATTTACTTTGAATGTGGTAGACAATGATTCAGTATTAATACTAAAAGAGTTTCGGGCTTCCATTGTCTTTATATATTTTTGCTTACACAACTTTTCGGTCAGAAGTATCATTAAAACCGATTTGCTTCAGAATGGTGACTCTGCAAAATCCCTAGACAAGATTATATCCAATTGTAGGTCCGACTCATTGGTACGCCAGCCTGAGGAGGATGCTCTCTTTCTCTTGACAATTCTATATTTGAAAGGAACATCGGAGAAGATCAGGCGAATAGCTAAGCAATATAAAATTAAAACTGTTTTTAAGTCTGGGACTACTCTAAGTAGTGTCCTAGCAAAAACAAAACCCGAATCATCAAACCAGGAGAAAGAGTGCATCTATCAGGTACCTTGCGAGTGCGGTGAGTCTTATATTGGAGAGACAAAACGTCCTCTAGATGTACGACTTGACGAACATAAAAAACATACGCAAAGAGTTGAAACAATGAAGTCGGGTATTGCAGATCATGTGTGGTCCACGCACCACAATATAAAATGGTCGGAAGCCCGGGTTGTCCATAAAAAAACCCATTGGAAACAGCGCAAATTTTAAAGAGGCCGTATTCATTTCTCACAATAATAAGATCTTTAGCAATCATTTCAACGATATGGCAACCACTTATAAAACGTTCCAATGCAGGTGTTCTTATTGAAAAACCTCATGCTTGACTGCACCCAACAAATTCAGGTTTTAGGATTTAGTTTAGTTCACATTTGATAACGGTCAGTGATAGTTCTGACCGAAACGTTGTGTAAGCAAAAATAAATAGACAATGGAAGTCCGAAACTCTTTTAGTTTTATTATAAAATATTGCATATCCAATCCATGAAATTTAAAGAGAAACTATATATAAAACATAAAAAATTTAATTTATTATTGTTGCGGAAACGAATAAAGCTCATCATTTAAATAAATACCATATCAGTGTTAAACCAATAATGGTATGACACTAATATGACATTGATGTTTTACAATTTATGTAAAATTTGTCCGACAAGTCAGGGAAGAGTTCGACAGGCCAGAATATTGGAACTCGCATAAAAATATCAATTTTCTAATAAGAATCAAAATTATGTTAGGTCTTTTTTCTTTGAAAATACACTATTATACTATACAGGGTCCAGCAATAGTGCGTCGGGCATCTGTAGCTCCTAGAATAAAAACTTGAGAATCTTGTTTAAGTGCAAACCTAAAGTATATACTAGGAAAATATTTTAACGTCTACAGGGTAGCTCAAATAAGTGTGAGTGGATAGGAATAATTTTTTTAAATGGAACACCCTGTATATTATTGCATTTTTGGCTTCCTCTCAGATCACTTTAAACATATAATCCTACAATATGAGTAAATCTATTTCGATAGCCTCAGAGATATTCATAAATAAATACAAAATATATATTTTTCAGCTTTTTTAAAAAAAATTATTACAAATACAAGAAGTACCCTGAAATCAAATCTATATTAGGTATTTAGTTTTGATGGTCTATAGTTATAACTTTGCTATAAATATCGTAATCTTAAATGAAACAGAGTGTTCAAAATTCTACGCCAAACTTTCTAAAATATAAAATAATTTTTCTTCGTTTTTTTTTTAAATGAAACACCCTCTATATTAATTTTTTATTAGACGGAGAATTAAAAAAAATATATTTTTTGTATTTAGAGTACTTCAAAATTTTTAACGGTTTCTCAGATACTCGTGGTATAATATCATATGGCTCTTTCAACGGTAAAATACCAGAGAAAAATCATTGGTATCATCTAATAAAAAAATTATATAGAGGTGTTTCATTTAAAAAAAAACGACGAAAAATTATTTTATATTTTAGAAAGTTTGGCGCAGAATTTTGAACATCCTGTAAAATTTAAAATTACGATATTACAAGACAAGCCATCTAAAGTAAATATCTAATATAGTTTTGGACAGTTCTTGGATTTTTAATAATTTTTTAAAAAAGGCTTAAAAATATATATTTTTTATTTGTTTAATAATATCTCTTAAACTATCGAAACATATTTACTCACATTCTAGGATTATGTAAAGTGATCTGAAAGGAAGCCAAAAATAAAATAATATACAGGGTGTTCAATTTAAATAACTCATCCCCATCCACTCACACTTTTTTGAGCCAGCCTGTAGACGTTAAAATATGTTCCTGAAATACATTCTAGTATATACTTTAGGTCTGCACTTAAACAAAATTCCCAAGTTTTTTATTCTAGGAGCTACAGATGCCCGACGCACTATTGCCGGACCTTGTATACTTTTTTGTTTATCTTCAACAAGAGGCACAAACTTTCTAATTGTTAAAAAAGACTACAAAACTGTACAAAAATGTGTTTTTTTTAAATTTTGTAATTATTTTAAAAGTCTGATGTCTGAATATCTACAGTTTTGTATGAACGACCAGTCTCTGTTAAAATTGCTATAAACTAAATTAAAAAAGTAGACAGGGTGTCCCAGGTTGAGCGTGCATTAGAAGTTTCTAGAGAACCACAATATCTAGATCGGAGATTTTTTGCACATCATTGTTTTACAACGAGATCTGTCGATTAAAATATTTTCAATATAGCGGCACTTCCGGAAATACCGGAAGTTGACAGCAACTTTCTTATTTTAAATGTGTACCCCCATTTTTTATTACATATTTAAATTATCTGTAAAATTTTATGAATTTTGATACTAAACACTCTATACCTAACATTAACCGTTTTTGAGAAAAAAAAAATATTTAACATTTTTTGACGAAATTTATATAGCATAAAAGTCAAATTTACTGATTACCACAGCCACTGTGACATAATGAGAAGACCCAGGCTATACATATATTTTTGACAAGCAGTTTTTTTCGTTCAAAAATGTTAAATATTTTTTTTTCTCAAAAACGGTTAGTGTTAGGTATAGAGTGTTTAATATCAAAATGCATAAAATTTTACAGATAATTTAAATATGTAATAAAAAATGGGGGTACCCATTTAAAATAAGAAAGTTGCTGTCAACTTCCGGTATTTCCGGAAGTGCCGCCATATTGAAAATATTTTTAATCGATAGATCTCGTGGTGAAACAATGATATGCAAAAAATCTCCGATCTAGATATTGTAGTTCTCTAGAAACTTCTAATGCACGCTCAGCCTGGGACACCCTGTATATGATCAATAAATAGTTATAATACTATATTTTTCTGTTGCAGAAATGTATGGCAGTTATCGTCCTATTAATATTTTTGGTTAACATTGAAAAGATAGCAGCCAGACCTGGAAATGAATGGCCAAATTATCCAAACCCCTGTAATAAAGATGTAAGTACTCAAATATTAATTAAATTCACAAAGTTTAAATTATACAATTTAGGTAACCAAGTCTAAGCCCACGGCCACACAGAAAGCGTTTTTTGCGTTTTTAGCGTGAAGCGTCTTTAGCGACTAAAACAAAATAACAGGATTACATAGGAGTGGCCACACCAAAAGCGTGTAACGTTCGGCGTGTCTCACAAAAAAACGCAAATGAAAACAAATCAGTTTGTTTTCTGTAGCGTCTTTGGCGTTTTCTAAGATGAGACCCCGTCATAGGCGGATGTTATATTTAATAATACAATAAAAATAAATTAAAGAGTGTGCATTTTTTTTTTATTTTAGGGTATTATTTAAAAATATTTTTATAAAGATCTACTGTTTAAGAAGATTCTATTAAATTCAAAAATTTGAATTTTTGAATTTAATAGAATTTAAGAAATTTGAATTTGATGGAAATGTTTGAAAAAGTGTAGTTTGAAATGTTGAAAAAGTAATAAATTAACGGAATATTTTCTTACGCGTAAAAAATAGTTTTTATATGCGTAAAAAGTGTTTTTTTCTGCGTAAAAAAGGTTTTTTTAACAGAAACAAATAGTTTTTGACGCGTAAAAATAGTTTTTACATGTAAAAAATACGTAAAAATTTTTTTGGGTAAAAGAGTTTTTACTAGAAACAATAAGTTCTTCACGCATAAAAATTACTTTTATACGTGTAACAAATAGTTTTTACTCATAAAAAATATTTTTTGGGTAAATAAATTTTTTACCAGAAACAATAAGTTTTTGACGCGTAAAAATTTAATTTTTTACGTGTAACAAATATATTTTTACACGTAACAAATAGTTTACGCGTAAAAAGTAGTTTTTTCCAGTAAGAAATAGTTTTATACGCGTAAAAATAGTTTTCTACCAGTAACAAATAGTTTTATACGCGTAAAAATAGTTTTTAATTTTTGTAACAGTTTTATTCGCGTAAAATAATAAAAATAGTTTTTTACGTGTAACAAATGTTTTTTTACACGTAATAATTCGATTCACTTTTACAAAATTTGTATTAAAATATCACTATTTTTGATAAACACGTGGACTGCTCACAAATATACGTCGTGTCACTACGTATTTCTAAGCCGTTAACACGTTTCGTTACGAGCTCGTGTGTCAGGGCCGTCTCACTAGCTCGTATGTCACAGCCTTGAATTTTTACTCCCAGCGCGCGTAAAGAAGTTTCACTCCAAAATGTTTCATAAATCATGTCCTAAAATTGCATTAGCAACTAGAAATATTTACTATTCTATTATATAATTATTATAATGATTTATTATATTATATTATAATTATAACAAGTAACCACAACATTACAACATAAAAAACTATACACATATAAATTAAAATTCGTAAAATAAATGGCTAATAATAATTATTATTTTTACACACACCACTGGCACTAGCAGAAGATTGTGTTAGTCGCCGAATATATGCCCCGGCCCGTCCACAATTCAATCCCAGCATCTTTTATCTTCGTCTCTTCAACGCTAACCGCGCCGATCTCGCCTATCTCTTTCTCACAGGATTGATTGTTGAACGGGACGGGAATCCACGAGCTTGCGACGTTACTAATTGACATCTTGATAGAAACTGCAGACCTGCCGCGTTTTTTGCGTGTTTTTAATGGACACAAATAGAAACAAACGCTTTAAACGGTATAATCGCAAAAAGCGCTTGAGACACAAAAAATGCAAAACGCTACAAACGCTTTCTGTGTAGCCGTGGGCAAAGGGTAAAAACATGGAGTAGTGTGGCGATACTTATATGCTTCTAGGTGCGCGACCAGTTAATTGGCTCCAATTTGTTTTGATGCATAAACTTATCTCAGAATGTATCGATACAGGGCGAGATGAATTACTCCACTATGTTTTTACTCTAAGATATTTCAATTTATACCGGGTGCGTCTCAAAAATGGCTCACCCCTATAACTTTTTTATTTTTTCAATTAAAAAAAAACGAAATTTGATATGTTAACTAGGATTGATTGACGTATTTAATTGTTTTCGGTCACTTCCTGTTTTACCGGAAATGACTACAACTTTTGATTTTTAAATGGCACCCTCGGTATTTTTCTACTTTATTCGATAGAAAATAACGCTCTGAGTAGAATGACATATCATATGTCAACTTTTGACATTTTCGCATATGGTTTATTTGAAAGTTTAACTTGCGGTTCGTAACGAAAATTTTGATTCGAAATACCAAGTGTGTGGTATCAAATTATTCGTAAAAAATGCTTTTTCCAAATATGCTAATGAGCCACCCTCGTTCTATTTGAAAATATTGAAATATGATTAAAAATACGATTTGGGCATTTTTTAACCGGCCAGGACACTAAAAACATTAGACGATCAAATCTATTTTTCCAAGGTTTCTTTATTAAGAATTAATAGTTTTAACGTAGCCATGGCACTCAAGATTGAAATTTAAAATACGATTTTTTATTAAGCGAGAATGCCAAAAGTTGACATGTGATATGTCATTCTATTGAGAATGTCATTTTCTATCGAATAAAGTAAAAAAAAATACCGAGGGTGCAATTTAAAAATGAAAAGTTGTAGTCATTTCCGGTGAAACAGGAAGTGACACAAAACAATTGAATACGTCAATCAATCCTAATTTATGTCATATACTAATATACCAAATCTCGTTTTTTATCTGAAAAAGTTATAGGAATGAGTTACTTTTGAGACGCACCCGGTATATGCCTATTTAGTTTTTTGATTATGTAATAGGCACTTTGTTTACTTATTTGTTTCGTCGAACTGCCAGAATCAAATTTTTGCTTTATGATAAAAGGGGTGTTTTTGATAAAAGCTGGGATGCTATAAAATGTTGTTCTGGAAGAGTTGTATTGATTGTTGTTGCACCCAATAACCACACAATTACCCCTCATATTCGATACTATATATAATATAACTAATAAGATATAACTCGATACCCAGTTCTTTTTTTTTCACACAAATTTTGATTTAATTTTGTACATGAGAAGTTAAAAGTTTCAATAACTGAAATAGTAAAAACTAAAATACTTAAATATTATGACAGGACCACGATTTCAATATTTTTTCAATGCGATCAAAATGAACGGTAACCGTAACAGCATGAAAAAAAGTAGACGGACAATTCTGATTTCTGCCGTACTAAGTGCTGCTGTCGGAATTTTAAAACATCGGTTGAAATTTACCAAGCCTATATCCATCATTGTCTTACCCTTTGAAATATAGACCACCGAATTATGACCAGGAACTGTATAGAAAATATACATATATTCAGTTTCTAGCAATTTTAAGACCAGTTCCTATTCCAAATTTAGATTTAAAATACGATTAATTTTGATATTTTAAACAAAAATAAAAGGTACTTTTATTTATCAATCAATTATTATTAGGAAAAAAATGAATGATCTACCCCATATGTTCAGTATTCATAAATGGCCTTTTTGTTCTAGGATATTCAAATCGAAATATGCCAACGTTGTGCCAAAGCTACAAAGTCTCCATTGGTATATCCTATGTGCTGTAACGATGAAGACAACGTTTATTCATGGTGTAACAAGTACATATTCTTTGGGTCAAATCCCTAATAAAACACATACTTAATCTGGAGTGTTAAAATTATATACCTTTTATATCATCTTTATCTCAAATATTAAAATAAACCCAGTAAGCGAGACTAAAGGATGTAATAATATAATTTGTGATTATGATTGTGATGTAGATATAGTTTAAATTAAGTAATCTCCTCGAACATTAAACGCTGAACTGTATAAATTCAAGTATTTCTAAGTTCTAGTTTAAGTTTAACTCTAGAGAAAATTCTTAACTCTAAAAAAAACACTGTGTTTTCTATTTAATAATTATTTGTCATATGGCTGTGAATGATTTAATTTCATTTGTATGAATGCTATTACAATGCAATTGATTTAGGTTGTAGAAAAATCCTTGTAAGTTATTCTGTTAAATAATTTATTTTTATATAAAAAACTTTTATAATAAAATGTTTTAGAAAATAGAGCTATATTTAAATTTCATAACAAAAAAATACCTTAATATAAACATTATATACATTACCTCACAGGTAACCCATCAAACTTTATTTATTACAGCCTAGTTCTTTTTTTAAATTCTTAAAGTAAATGAGATCTTCCTTGCTAACAGAAGGTTTAGCGTCTCTTATGGACAGAAGAAAATCTTCACTGTTCACTATCACTTCTGCTTCTTCAGTGGTTATGGTATTTGGATCGCAGCCCTCTAAAAAGAAAAGAAACCTTAGTTCAGTGTTATTTGTTAATTTTATATTGAAGAATTAGAGAAGTAAATTATGCTAAATTAAAATAAAGAGCCAATAATCATACAATAGCTCTTGACAGCTAATATTACTAGTTAAGGGCCGGTTTTAAAAAGCAAGTATATACCAGGTGTAACCAATTCTTGGAATATCTATTAAAATTTCTGTTCAATAAGTATTGTAATCGCAAAACATTTTCCGATGCACGTCATCAATCATATGGACATTGACACTAAAGGCTATAAACCTGACTAAATGAAATTTTGGTAAAAATATTTAAATTTGTTGTATAATTTAAGATACCGAGCAGCTCTTCATTTTACTTTATAGAGCAAATGATTGTAACATATACTTTATTTAGATTAAAGCTGCAAAAATTAGTTTAAACCGAATTTTATTATCGCTATGTTGGTCACATTGCGCCATGTTCCGCAATATTGTCCTTTGTTATTTGACAAAACGTGACAATAAAAGTCCTTTATTACCCTTGACTGCAGTCAGAAAAGTAGTTTGATTGATTTGTTGACATTATACTTCAAAGTCTTTATTAAATTCTGTGATTATTAGTGTGTGCATTAATATCACCCTCTTACTTGTTATTACCACTTATGGCCTTGTAAGATCTACATCAATAAATAACCCATAATAACGTTTATAATAATCATCATAATGGACTAGTTTTTGCCAATGTGTAATAAGTCTATAAAACAAATAAATCAATTAATCACTAAAATATTAGTTAAATGATATAATAAATATTGTCAATTAAATTAAATTTTTAATTAATTGTTTGTCAATTTTAAATTAAGATTCATCTCATAAATCCATCACAATCTGGCATCACTGGATGTCGCCATCGCTTGTCACTCAAAGTTGAACACGTGCAGCGGAAATTGTTTTGCGATTACCATAGTTATAACATAGAATAATTATTCCGAATTTATACTTGTTTTGTAGAATCGGCCCTAAGTGTTCATTTTGTAGTCGTACAGACTTGGTCATGCTCAGTGGTATGGAGATGATCTTTATCGCATTCCCCATATAATTTGTCTGGTTTATAAGTAAGTGAAATGAATACCAGTATTTCTAATAGCAGTGTTTGCTGCAAATGTAATCGTAGTTTTGTGTGTTTTAATGTGCTTCGGAAACACGTTAAAATGTGTATATCATAGACCTTAAGCCCACGGCCACACAGAAAGCGTTTTTTGCGTTTTTAGCGTGAAGCGTCTTTAGCGACTAAAACAAAATAACAGGATTATATAGGAGTGGCCACACCAAAAGCGTGTAGCGTTCGGCGTGTCTAGCAAAAAACGTAAATGAAAACAAATTCGTTAGCGTTTTCTAAGATGAGACCCCGTCATAGGCGGACGTTTTATTTAATAATACAATAAAAATAAATTAAATAGTATGCATTTTTTTTCATTTTAGGGTATTATCTAAAAAATATTTTTATAAAGAACATCTACTGTTTAGGAAGATTCTATTTAATTCAAAAATTTGAAGGAAATGTTTGAAAAAGTGTAGTTTGAAATGTTGAAAAAGTAATAAATTAAAGGAATATTTTCTTACGCGTAAAAATAGTTTTTTATACGTAAAAAGTGTTTTTTTCTGCGTAAATAAGGTTTTTTAACAGACACAAATAGTTTTTGACGCGTAAAAAATAGTTTTTTACACGTAACCAATAGTTTTTTAAACGTAAAAATATTTTTTTTGGGTAAAAGAGTTTTTTACTAGAAACAATAAGTTTTTGACGCGTAAAAAATAGTTTTTACGTGTAACAATTAGTTTTTTACACGTAAAATATATTTTTTTGCGTAACAAAAGGTTTTTTACCATAAACAATAAGCTTTTGACGCGTAAAAAAATAATTTTTTACGTGTAACAAATAGTTTTTTACACGTAAAAAATATTTTTTTGGTAAAAAGTCTTTTTACCAGAAACAATAAGTTTTTGACGCGTAAAATTTAGTTTTTTACGTGTAACAAATAGTTTTTAACACGTAAAAAATATTTTTTTTTCCGTAAGAAAGGTTTTCTAACAGAAACAATAAGATTTTGACGCGTATAAAAATAGTATTTTACGTGTAACAAATAGATTTTTACACGTAACAAATAGATCTATATGCGTAAAAAATAGTTGTCTACCAGTAACAAATAGTTTTATACGAGTAAAAAATAGTTTTCTAGCAGTAAAAAATAGTTTTATACGCGTAAAAATAGTTTTTTACGTGTAACAGTTTTATTAGCGTAACATAATAAAAATAGTTTTTTACGTGTAACAAATGTTTTTTTACACGTAATAATTTGATTCACTTTTACAAAACTTGTATTAAAATATCAATATTTTTGATAAACACGTGGACTACCCACAAATACACGTCGCGCCGCTACGTATTTCTAAGCGGTTAACACGTTTCGTTACAACGAGCTCGTGTGTCAGAGCCGTCTCACTAGTTCGTATGTCACGGCTTTGAATTTTTACTCCCAGCGCGCGTAAAGTAGTTTCACACCAAAATGTTTCATAAATCATGTCCTAAAATTGCATTAGCAACTATAAATATTTACTATTCTATTATATAATTATAATTATTTATTATATTATAATTATAACAAGTACTAACCACAACACTACAACATAAAAAACTATACACATATAAACTAAAATTCGTAAAATAAATGGCAAATAATAATTATTATTTTTACACACACCACTGGCACTAGCAGTAGATTGTGTTTGCCTCCAAATATATGCCCCGGCCCGTCCACAATTCAATCCCAGCATCTTTTATCTTCATCTCTTCAACGCTAACGGCGCCGATCTCGTCTATCTCTTTCTCACAGGATTGATTCTTGGACGGGCCGGGAATCCATGAGCTTGCGACGCTACTAATTGACATCTTGTTAGAAACTGCAGACCTGTCGCGTCTTTTGCGTGTTATTAATTGACACAAATCGAAAAAAGCGCTTAAAACGGTAAAATCGCAAAAAGCGCTTGAGACGCAAAAAACGCAAAACACTAAAAACGCTTTCTGTGTGGCCGTGGGCTAAGACTGTTTGAAAGTAATAGAACTACTGAACTACTATGAATGTATATAAAATTTATTATTTTAGAAAATATTGGCACAATGGAATAACAGACATTTGAACAAACAAAACAAAAAGATGAATTAGAAAAAGTATTTAATCGGATAACTAGTAATATTACTCATATAGTTGACAACAATGATCTTTATAATAAGAAGAACTAGTGGAAAACATATCACGAGAAATTTTCAGCATCGAAAACATAAACCAACTTAAAGCAATAGAAAAGATTGCTGCTTCTATTGAAGCAAAACTAAAAGCTCTCCAGTATACCACCTTTGACACAATGTAATAAAGAACCAAAAGAAGCTGACAACAAAAATATCCGACAAAGAAGACTTTTTAGCACAAAAAAACGTCAAAAAAAGCCTCCACAAAGCTTATTAAACCGTTTGAAACAGAAAAAAACAATATAGCTCTTAATACTATAAAATGAATTAAAATTAAAGAACACTGTTTATATATTGACTTTTATTATTTATTAGATAAGTTGGTATTAACGAATTTTCACACATAATAATTCAGCTTTTTTACAATTTTTGAGATTTTCATCTACTAGTAACATATCTATTCGTTCCGCCAGCAGATACTGCTTTATTTTTCTTGATAAAATAATGGATACTTACTTATTAAACTATTGTAGGTAAATTTAAGTAAACTGTTATAAATTATAAATAATAATGTCCATAAACTAATGTCGACTTTGAAAATAGTTACTAACTGTCAGAAAATTGCCATGGCGACACCAGCCATCTTGATTGCAATTTTATTTAAAAATCGCTTTTTATTCAAAATCTGAGCTAGATAGGTATAGGAAACCCCAATAATTTCAAAGAGCATTTGAATCTGCTTCAATTTATTTAAAAAAATACAGGGTGTTGCATTTGAAATAACGAAGTTTTTATACAAAATATATCCTTAAAATAGATCAGCAACTTTTGATAGCCCTGTATAAATTTAAGAAACCAATACCATTTTTCAGTAAAGTTTATTTCTCTACCTTTATACTCAGCATACGAATTAATTCTGAAAAGTAATGTACAGGGTGTTAATAGTCTATTCTATATAATTAATATCTCAAAAACTAAAGATTTTAAACATATTTAACCCGTATAATAAATAAATGCCTTTTTTGGGCCCAAGAATCCAAAAATGAAATAAAATACCGGGTGTTCCATAAGAAAAAATATAACTTTGGTATGGATCTTAGTTCTGAAACACCCTGTATATTTCAAAATAATTTTAAATTGTGCACATTTTCTCCCCACATATACCCATAAAATATTTTGTTTCTACATCTTTCCGTTTTCGTATAATCAACCGAGGCGAATGAGGTGCGCCACCCTGTATTATTCATGAGTCATGAGTAATATTAAATGTCACAAAACCGACTTACGGAGAAAACGGTGATTTAGTATTGCCAAACACCATGTTAAAAATGCAGATGTGTATTGCTGTATGCGTTATTATTTGGACATCATTTGTTATATTCAATTGTAATTTAACATGTGTTTAGAACTTGGTATTCTCAACAATTCAGGCTAGCTTCTATGTCCAACTAGTCAACTCGCAGTTTCCACAGAATGGCATCGTTAACATCGAAATTAATTAAATCGAATTATTTAAGTGGTATTTTCAAATGTCAATAACTCGGAAAGTGTTGGTTTGAGGCACATTGCGTGTATGTCGATTTTTGCTTAGAATTGAAGAAAGAACCGAAATATGCTATAATATACAGGGGATTCCATTTAAAAAAAAACTATGATGTGCTACGACTTTATGACCGACTCTGTATACTTAAATTTATTACCCGCTAATAGATATTTAAAAACTCTATAACTTTTATATATAACTTTTTGTGGTACCTCTTATATTTTTAC